GCTAGATAGATTTTTTCAAAAATCCCTACAAATGGAGGCATCTAGTATATAATTATGTGGTACGAAGCATTTTAGTGTTGAAAGCTCTGCAAGGCTAAAATTATTTTCTAAACGAAAACAAATATTTCATCATAATCACGTGTTATAAATGACGTCCGATCTCATTAAAAATTGCATCAAACATTAATTCAATCTTTATGTGACTTATGTGCAAAAAAGATTTGCAATCGGATAAAACAGGTTTATGCACCAGCGTTCCAAAAGTGGAAGGTAGCGGTCAAGCGTGAGGGGGTCCAGCCACATCAAACAATTGGCATTGAGTTACCAGACCTCGCGCTATTTTAGCCAACAGTTTCCTAGACAATCGAGTAAACAATATTAAAACAATATAAAGTTCTCATGCAGAATAGTACAAGGCCGTAGCCACCATTTTGGAAAATGTTCCGTTTTATTACAAGGTTTTTTATTTATTTATTTGTGTAATAAATATTTCTTACGAAGGGGAAAAATTAAACCGGATAAAACCGGACTAACCGTACTGGTTGCCACGGCCCTGTACATATGTAGTATATTTAGCTATAGCAAACACAGTCGTGAAGGGGTTTGATACGAATTTCCTTTATTTATACAAAGACTTCCTCTTTTCATTTTTTTTTTTTTTTTTCATATATATATTTTTCCATTTAATGACGTTTTTTGGTAATAAAGATCATAACAACCAGCTGCTCATAACCAATATTCTCTATATAACTGATCGATATTACATGGTGCGGTTTAAATAAAGAAGGACAATGAGTCTATGTATAGTAAATTATATTACATATGCATTAATGAAATGTTCCTGAAATATTGGAATCTTTTACGCACTCTCTTTTACGCACTCAACAACGTAACATCACTGCAAATATTGGTCTCAGTGCTTGTTCCCTGTATCCTTATATTGTACGTGTTAGGCTGCATTTAGTCGTTATTGAAGAAATTGAAAACGTGCGTGCGTGCTATTTACAGTTATAAAGCACGCTGGGGTTTGCAGAACACGATAGAAGTGTTAGGGAAATTGATTTGCTAACGTAATTTATCAGTTTGTCTTCCTATTTCTCCCGCCTTTAGACCAATCAGAAAGCGAAAAATTCACAATAGTGGTAAAAAGCTTTATTGGCAACCTTTACGCCCCATAATGCCTTGCTATTCAAGGTAGCCGCCGTATCGCCGTATCATTTTTTAAACCCTTGATCCGCCACTACAAAGTCAGAATCTGGTTTACTTCTTCGTTTGTCTGCTTGTTAGTTTGTCGGGGTTCTGATATATGAAATAGCGACGCTGGAAAGATAGTCGATAAAGAAAACTCTACTTGACAAGGGATTACAAACACGTGTACAATTTTTTAGTAGAGAAAATAAGAGAAAAATATCAAATGCCCTTGGCAGGATTTGGACCCACGTCTTCGGTATTCTAGTCCGATGTGTTAACCACTACACTACAAGGACCAACCACGCTGGTAACGCAGCCAGAATATGAAATGTAGGGTATTAGTGAGGATCCCAGAGCGATATTTTTTCTCTATAGATAGGTTGAACACCGTAAATATGTACGCAAAGAATAGACATAGTAACTGTCACGCCAAGGTCACGGCACTGCAAAACCGAACATAGTGCAGTTTCGTATGACTGTGAAAAGCTCTGTGCCGTAAGCGTGACGTGCCRTGACCGTGATACTTTCTAGAATTTTAATTGGCTGATTTTTTTCTCGCGCAATATGATTTGTCTAAAAGTGCCGTGATTTTGGCGTGACCGTGTCCGCGCCGTGTTTATGCCGTGTTCCGGGTATTTGATTGGATGGAGAGTAAATTCTCGTGCAATGTGGTTTGTCTGGCGTATCCTTTGCTGAGTCACGACCGTGTTCGTGCCGTGAACTTTTCACAGTCATACGAAAACTGCACTATTGCGCGAGAGAACAATCAGCCAATCAAAATTCTAGAAAACATCACGGTCACGGCAAGGCACTCATATGGCACTTTTCACAGTCATACAAAAACAGCTGTAGACCATGCCTAAAATCCTCGAGACTACAGTTCTTTGTGAATAATATAAACAGTTTTCCCCCTGATTACCCCCAAAACCGCCATTTAACATGGGAAGGTGAAATGATGGCGGGGAATATATTGACTGAAATGTTTGTCCTAATATTCCAGGAAGTATGTGTGGCCAACAAGTGTCTAAATGGAGGAACATGTGAAGTCCTTGGGTACAATGACTTCCAGTGCCACTGCCCGAATGGATTCAAGGGTAAACTTTGTGATGAGACATGTAAGTCTGGTTATGATTTGAGCATGTAATATTTGCGTGACAGTGTAGTCCTATGGTAATAATAAAATAAGTACCTATTTACAAGACACAGTCGCTATTGAAAAGATTGAAATATTCAAGAGGTTTTTCTTATGTTTCACGCTAATGCAAACAACCAATATGTACAATGGATTTGTTGTTGTTGATAATTTGATGGCGTAGTCTTTCCTACGTAATTTATAGCTACGAGGGATGTTTTTAAAGTTTTTAAAATTGGGCCAACCATTTAGGCGAGTGCAAAAAGGCGTCCCAATTGAAATGAGTTAAATTAAAAAAACCAATACCAGCACTGGAAAAAGCATCTTTATTTTAGTAAGCCTGCGAAGATTCATTATGCCAGGCTTCGCTATACCCCCAGAAATACAAATGTCTGTAAATTTGTCAATTTTCAACTTCAGTGTTCTCTCCGATATAACACCTGACATGATGAATCTTCAGACATACAATTTAGGAGTTTTGATACTGTGGCCGGGTAGCCTGTATATCCGGGTCCCGCAAGGGGACTGGGGCGGCCACAAGGGCTGCATGGTGTGAGAGAGGTGTGAAGAGCCGCCATGTTGTAATATTGTTGATCAGTGTTTATGTAATAAAAGTACATTTGTGGAAATACCTGGGCCATAATACCATATTTGGAATTTTACGCTTGAACAAGATGGCCGCTTCTATCACATATTAAATTTGTCGCTGAATTTCCTAACTTTCAGAGAAAATTTTCAATTATCTATAATTGATCTATATTTTTCTCATCTTGGTAGATAAATGGCACAAGATCAACACAAGTCCTGTTTGCTTTGGAGCAAAAGACTCAGCATTTGGCCGTTTTCACATCAATCAAAGTGGATCAGTTAAAGAAATCAAGCTTGTTCATGTATCTGGGTTCGTGGCGAATGGCAACAAGATAGAACAACGAAGCAAATGGGGTTCTGCTATCGATAAAAACCTTTACACCATCATAACCAACAGCAACGACCACAGGATCCTTCCCCAAGATGAATTCATAACCAATTATAACGTACTATCCTACCTCCTGCCCTACTCCAATTATAATTCTGCAGAGCTCATTTTTAAGAACTTTACAAGCCCCCTGGTGGTAGCCGCTGRCCAGGAGTATCGCATTTGGTTCGGTGAAGACCTGAATAACTACGGCGAAGWAGACAATGAAGGGACAACGTGTGCTGATGTTYATGTACTTGCATTGTATGACTGACGTAGAAAACCAGATGGAGAAGTGACTTTAAACTGGCGTGATTTATTGCAAGAAGCATGACTTTTCGGCTATACTTGTGATAGCTTTCATCTGAATAAACTGCAAAACTTATTCTCTTTTTTTAATCTCAATTTAATCTMATTTTATTTGACTCAACTTTAACCATGATTTAAAGTGCTACTATGATGAAAATCGCTCAAACTTGGATTCAGCTGAAACTTCCTAAGAATACTCTTTAAAGGTCCAATAWTCACTGTATGAAGTGTTTTCTCGATATTCAGGACGAAAGTATGATATTTTTACGATTATTTTTTGGAGTCTGTGATGTCATACACTCAACATCAAACATTGCTACATACATTTCTTTGTATATAAATCCTTAATTTATTTTATTCCTATGAAGCCCAAAGGGTGGCTAATGTGCTTATTTCACATTACTTGTGACTATAATTTATATTTTGGGGTGTTTGGGTATTTCTTTCTCCCTTTACTACTGATATTTTGATCATAAACTACAAAGAAATGTATGGAGCGATGTTCGATGTTGAGTGTATGACGTCACAGACTCCAAAAAATAAGCGTAAAAATATGATACTTTCGTCCGGAATATCGAGAAAACACTTCATAGAGTGATTATTGGACCTTTAAAGAGTATTCTTAGGAAGTTTCAGCTGAATCCAAGTTTGAGCGATTTTCGTCATAGTAGCACTTTAAAGTGTTTTAACAATCAATAGCCGAAATAATAATTCATAAATATTTCTATTAGCTATAGTAAAATAATAATCTATCGTGGCATGGTACGCACAACAGAGTTAGGCTCCAACTTAAGTACGACCACACATAAGATATAAGCGTAAGATAAGCATTTAAAAACAGCATTAATGTCAGGACACCAGGAATCCTCCCCTGGGTCTGCCCTTGTTATAAAAACGCAAAGCTTCAGATAATATAAGAATACTTAAAAAAAAAAATAAAAAAATAAAAAAAATAAAAAAAAAGCTTGAAGTAGACGGTGAAAGCTTAGATCTGATTTATAAATCTACAGCAGTAAAGGCTTCATTTGGAAAAAATCCTGCATTACGCTAGGCTAAAATGTTTGAAAAACTCGGCTCCCATTGCAATTGTAATAGTTCTTTTTATATTGAAAAACTTAGGAGTTTGAAAAGATAAGTTATGCATTTTGACCTGATATATAAGCTGGTCAAGATCTTTCAATATTGGATTTAAAATTTTAGAAAAATATAGTGATGAAATAACTGTACTAAACTGGCAACGATTGTTAGTCCTTCTTCTTAGAGCGAGAAGCACTCAATCACTCAGGTCAAACGTCGAACTTCGCATGAGCCAAACCTTATTGAAACAATGGATAACAAAGCGGTCTTCTTTGACGTCATTAGGTTTGGCTCGATAATATGAATTTCGACGTTTGACATGAGCCTTATACGTGTAAAATAATTAGTTTGAATTAAGTTGACTGACTCCTTAAGCACAAAATAATAAATGAATGAATGAACCTTTATTTATACAGGCCAGGCCTTGAACGTCGACCCCCACATGCCCCGAGCCCAATGCAAATGAGCAAAAAGTTCAATTGCATTGGACTCAGCACATGCGAAAATCGACGCCAAAACCCGGCCCAAACATACATGACCTATACGCATATATATCTTGAATTTATAAATATCGATTTAAAATTCAAATATAAATGATATAAAACGACGATACGAGAACGTGTAGAAAAATTTCGACGAAAAGAGAAACTATGTTAAGAATGTATTATAAACTGTGCATCCATAATAATAATAGCTGCGCTTAGCAATTTCCGTTCTTACCCTAGGCAAATGTAGAAGGTGACTCCGATTTCCAAAAAAATAAGTTGTGCCCAGCTCGTTTTCAAAATATTGAATTTTCAATATCACCATCATGATTTTGCCCGCTTAATTAATGCTTCGAAAATTAATTGTTCTCTAACACGATTTTTCTAAAGTAGTTAAAGTAGATTTTTAATTTTGACAAAAGATTGCTTTTCACCAGTTTTTGGAAAGATCAAAGAAAAGTATAGTCCCGTTCAAAATTTTAGGGTTTTTCTCTCTTGAAGTCTAAAACGTGTATGGTTTTGATGATCATCTTTAAATGTTCTTATCTGATATGATTTACATAAGAAAGAATTCAGTCTTCCAGTGGGAAAAGGCACTATTGTCGTGCCTCCTTTCATGGCTGCTATCACGTGATGGTGCAAAGCCTCTATTGATTCGTAAACCGGCACTCCTTTACATGGGAAAGAATTCAGTTTCCCATGGTAAAAGACTCTATTGTTGTGCCTCCTGTCATGGCTGCAGTCACGTGATGGTGCAAAGCCTCTATTGAACATTCAATAGTAAGCAGTCACTTTAACCCTTTGACTTCTACGACGCCCAAAACCGTCCATAAAAAACGCACCTTATTCGGTTGCATGAAAGATTCCAAAGACCTTAATTGTATAACAAGATTAATATACAACTATTAAAATAAATATTTGACTCAATCTACATTTCATCACTAGCGTCAAACATCTTTGCTCTAATCTATTTAGCTAGAATCTATCTGCACACCATTACTTATTATTTATGTATTTTATTTAGAGGATTTTATCACTTTTGACTTACAAAGGAGAACAAAAAATAAATAAATACCAAAGCAAACAAGCGAACTAGATGAGGTACCTCCCCCACACACTTATACACTTACAATAACATAATTCAATATAAGACGACATTGAATACATTAAAAAGCTCCATAGCTAACAGCAGTCCTGCTTTAATGATCTGCAGTATGGACAGACAATTTCTAAGCACTATTCAGAAAACTTGATGAAATATGAAAAAAAGTTTTCTGGATGCATAAGTCCGACTTACATTTCTTTTATTTTTTGGTGACGGGTCTTGAATTAACTTAAACACCTAACCGACTGAGGTAGCGATATCCAAGTAATGGCAAAAAACAACCCTTACAAGATGCATAACCTTCCGTAGACCTTCCATAGAAGAAATATAAATTTCTTTTTAACAATGAATAAATAATAATAATAAATTATATTTTATATAGCGCTAATTCYTTTAGTTCAACAGCGCTTTACAAACATTWAAGAMTCAAAAATRTTTTAARATTTAACGCTATCCTAATGYTATRAGATATAAAAATACATAAATATTCTGAAAAAAACATGATTTTAAAAACATTGGAAATTTTTTTGAATTTATTCAAAACACTAATTAAACATATTCAACAATAATATTAAACATTTCACAACATATTATAAACATTCAAATTGCAAATATAAAYTGATATAAATTGATATAAACTTTATTARAATAATATGATTWTAATHAATTAAGAAAAGCTTGTTTAAAAAGCCAGGTTTTTACGTCTCTTTTAAAAATTGAGATAGAAGTGCAAGCTCTTAAACTTGGAGGAAGAGAATTCCACAATTCAGGGGCAGCACAAGAAAAGGTTAATGCTATAACTACAAGAATTATATTTGTCAAGAAATCTACTACTGGCCTTGAGAGACAAAAGAAGATGTACAGGCAATGTAGTAAACTTGCTATTGTTGATGCGTGCTTATGTTCTCTTGAAAAGCTTACTTGTAATTACAAGTAATCAACTGAAAGTAGAGAGGGTACGATAACTACTTAGCTTTCATCTTAAAACATCATGCGAAAAAAATGTCAACATTCGACAAGGCACTTCAAATGAACTCTTTCATGATCCGTAGAAACCATTGGAGTAAAAATTCAATAAAGGTTTTGGAGTTTTATTGCATTATGATGATATTTTGATATTTTGAAKTCTTGACTAAATTTCGCGGAACCGTAGCCTTAACTTAACCCATACATGTACGATATACACTTATATAGCCACCCTACTCATTCTATTTTATCAGTTTCAGACAAAACCCGATTATTTTCCTGCTTTTTGGCTGCTTAGTCTGTGCGTGAAGAAGGTTAAGAAAACTCAAGAAAAAAATACAAAAAATCTATAACAAGTTAAAACTATGTTTTTAAATGCATGGACAAGACTACACACGCATGCGACCAGCTCCCTTTCAAGGTAGACTACCTTGTCTAATTCCCGTTTTATTTTCCACGTAATATATGTTATTAAAATTCATAAGCAACCCCTCTGTACATGACAATCCAATGATCGTTTTTATAATCTCAATCTATACGTAATTTATTTGGAAAGAATTGAGCAAGGCTTCTGCGAACTCTGAATTGTAAAACAGCAGAATGCACTGATTATTCTTACTAGAAGGAATTGCTACCAGTTATCGAAGTGGAATGTAAAGAGGCCGAAAAAAAAAAAAAAAAGGAGAACAGACTCTTCACGACAGATGTCTGAGCCAAAGAAATCATTGGCTGACATTAAAGTTTCAAAAATTTCTTTGAATTTATACTTCGATGGTTTCTAAAAACAATCATGAAAAGTTAAAGTGCCCCTTTGGCATGTTGACATATTTTTCATGTTTTAGAGATGAAAGCTAAGTAGCTATTCGTACCCTCTCTACTTTCAGGTGATTATGTGTAAAAACATGTAACCTCTTCACGAAAATAAAAGAAACATCAACAGAAGTTGTGCAAAATTGCCTTTAGATATTCTTTTACTCCTCAAGCTAGTAAAGAGGAAAAACTCGAATATTGCATGACTGCGCGGAGATATGGATGAGTTGACCATCTTAAGATATCAGCAAGAGAAGATATTAACACGAGAAGATAAAATCCTTATCTCCAATCAGTCATGTGATATTCTGTTCAAYATATGATGATCGATATAATATAAATTCGGTGATTTTTACTACATAATGTGATTCCATTCTTACTAATGGTGTTAGGGGTTGCGGATAGGGATACCTGATTGTCAGTAACTACTAATGTTTAGGCTTGTCAGTTAAACTGTTAAATAATTTTACAAACGCAGACCATGATATTAACCAAAACCATGTATTTCATGTATTTCATGTATTTCATGTATTTATAAAATAATATTTCTTTTCTCTTCAATTGTTTCATTGGTGCTTATTTTGTACTAATTAGTACTATTTCACATATATATGGTTCGCGCTCTACTGTCGTTTGATAACAACTTGTTGATGTGCAACCCTGAAAAAACTAAAAATATTCTCGTTTTGTTAGCAATCCCACATTGCAATCTTTTTCAATCTGCAACGCAACTAGCTCTTCTTTTTAAATTTCTGATTCTGTTCTCCCAGCACATCTGTAAGAATGACGTACATTGGTCGCATTCGAAAATATCTTTCTTCAGATAAACGTTTTGCGAATGGTCTGGTTATATCTCACCTGGGATTATTGTGATGAGCGCGTTCTTACAGTCTTTCTGGGCTTAACAGACAAGAACTCTGCAGCCCGTCTAGTAACAGTAGGGTCTCGCCGTAATAAACATTTCACTCTGGTACTGCTCAAGGCTCTTTATTGGCAATTTATTGAATCCAGGTTAACTATTCTAAAAGTTAATTTATAAAAATCTAGATTTGGCTTACAAAATACTTCATAATCTGTCACCCTCATATATACACGTCTTCTTTTCTTCAATCTCGTCGCTACTTTACGCTTTCTCTACACTAGCTCTTTCAACCATTGTCTTTTGTCTATCCTGCCGTTCCGTCCCGAACGAAAATCACTCTGGTTTGTACAGTGATGGAGTAAAGTCATTAAACCCATGAAATAGATATTAAACTAATACACTTTAAAAGATCCTAATTCCATTGTTTTTTGTGTGTCTATTTGACTATTACACGTTGGCTAACAGTTTTTATTTTACGAGTTAAATGCCTTCACTCTGATCCATCCCGGCCCTATTTCGTACAACTGAAAATAGCTACAATAAAACAATACATCTTTGGTTTTGCTACACGAATATCATGGCGTGCACTCAAAAGGAGCTTTCAAGGTTTTATGACTTCTTTAAACAACTTGGCTGACATTTTGATGTAAAAGGAAACAGAACAACAGAACAATATAAGAAAGAAAAAAAAAAAGAAAAGAAAAAAAAGAAAAGAGCTGAATTCAGCTGGTTAACAAAGTAAGTTACATTGTCGCGCGATTTCCATTTCGTGGCTCGCTACCTCAGCAGGTGATAAAGTGGCACATTACCTTTCATCAAGTGTTTCTTTAAAGGGCCACTTGGACGAAAATCGCTCCAAAATTAAAACTCTTTCATTCGAGCTGGAACTTTGCTGAAATAATCTAGAATACAG